AGTCATCATAACTTAGCTGGTTTGGTTACCAACATTCTTCAAAATATCTTTATATTCCGAAGAAGAATAAGTCATACAGGTTTGGAAAGACATGAAGGTATGTAAATGATTACTGAAATACCATTTTGGGGGGAACTATCCCTTTGATATTTACTTTCAGTAACCTACATCAAAACAGGCTACAACACAAAATACAATCACCACTAACAATTTATGTTTTGTATCTTTTATTGCTGTGGATGGTTGCATTGTTTTTCAATCTGATATTTTCCCAGAAACCCCAAAAATACAGTTTATGTAGGTACAGTAGGCCATGTTCTGTGTTTACTTAATATCCTGTTGAGCATCAGTAGCATTAGCCTATACTGTACAAAAATATACATCTGTGTTCACCCAAGGAATAACAGATATTCTGTAAATTTTTCAAATTAAAATCAAATTTTAAAGTCAATTTAAAAAAAAACATTGTCTCTTCACCCTTGTGATGTACCATGATCACGTCAATGCAAAGATATGTCATCAGGAATCACTTTGCCTGTATGTACACGTATAAAGTCTTGGTTCATGACTGAAATTCTCTTGGAAATAATGACAAAGAACTTGAGAGCAAAGAGGTATTGTATTATTAACTCTTCCCATCATCAAAAAAGAAGGGAAAAAAAGTCCTGTGTATGACACTATTCTTAAAATGTGGCAATGATGATTATACTCAATATTAATACCACAGAAATTCCATTGGCATTTATACAATATCTGTATTTGCATAGATCAATAAATGACATGAAAAGCACATTTTACTGTGGCAACATTCCTCTAGTGTTGATTTAACTCTGTTTTCAACAGATAAATATAGCATTATTTTTTTCATCCTAAAGTACACATAAATCACTACGAATGAAGACAAACATTTCAATTAAATATTTCTGTTGATAAATTCTATAATCATATCAAAATAATTTCAAAAATCTAATTAGCCAGGAAGATTTTAGTTCGCAAAACAAATACAAAACCCTTGTCCAGTATTAAAAATGTGTACTTTGCTTAAACATTCCCACAACACAAAATCACTAAATCAATAAAACCCAAAGAGGTTCTAAAATATTATATGTAACAAAGACAAAAAAATGTTATGCTTTTTCTTGACAAAATGATTTTGTCACAGTGTTCTAATGATCCTTGTGTATATTCTAACATTAGCTCTATAATCTACACTGTTCAATTTAACACATTAACCCATTAGTGTTTGAGTCATAGCTAAATAAATACTACAAATATTTAGAACAAACTGTCAATTAAATAAAGGTTTCAGTTGCTACTTTCAACTTTTTGGGGGATTTAAAACTGGTAGAAGAATCTAAGCAGTTTTAATTAATCAAGCTAAATAAAAAGGTTTCAATTTAGTAACATAAACATTATCTTCTAAATTAAGATCTACACAATTTAAAACAGCGGCCTACACACACTCCAAAAGCCTACAATCATCATGACTACTAGATGCAAACTAAAATGCAAAATAAAACGGAAATTGCACACAACCGTTTAAAAAACATTGATCCTAACAGTAACAAATCCATTAAGAAACACACTCGATGATTTTTGTGCAACTGCGTAAACAAGACACAAGGTAGTAGGGCTGTCAAAATGGCTGAAAAACTAAATTCGAATTTTGTACTTAAATATTATCAAAATTCTAATTATATTCGAATTTACATTTATGCATAGTTTAATACAAAGGGTGGAAAGCCAATCACACAGGGTACATTTCTCATTTAAAAACATGAGATGCAGTGGAATAGGGAAAAAACCCGCCATAAAGTCTCGATATGTTTTTTTCAAAGTTAAACTTGCATTAATTTTATATGGCTTTCTAAACATGCGGCTCCTTTGTGCGAGACGTGAGTGCAACGGTAATAGATGTCCCTCTAGAAAATGCGCGAAATATGCGTTCTGTATGAACGGCGTGGTTTCAGTTTTGATGTAAACAAGATCTTCTCCGCATTGATGTTCTCTTTTTCAGCAATATTTTTAATGAACAACGCAGCAGCGCCGCATCTAGTGGCTTCAACTGGATAGGCTAACAAAAACATTATAATGCAACGACACTTACATCGTTATCGCATCTCGTGCGCCACTGATAAGGCTGCCTCCTTAACGCACACCTAAAATTCGAATGCAACGTTTTTGCATTCGAATGTGGATTTTTATTTTAAATTCGACAAATATTCGAAATTCGAAAAAAAAATTTGACCGCCCTACAAGGTAGTACTTGGTAGTGTCACTACTGAGAAGCAGCTTCATCTTTGACATGTGCAGTATGGGAATCAAAAGACATCAGGTCACAGGATACGGCCTCTGCTCTGCCCTCAGACAAGCTGCTCTTTTGAGACTGTGGCTCATCAGAAAAACCCTGATTGACACCATCACTTTCTGAGGAGAAAGGTGAGGACTCGTTGGGTTGCATGGGATATTCTGCAGGTGGGGCAGATGACTCGAGATGAAGGGCGGCGGGGTCAATGAGCAGGGAAGAGATGTCTATAGGAGGCACAGAAGAGTCGAGAGACGAGATTGAAGAATTCATCAAAGATGCCATGTCTGTCAGCATGCTATGATCGAGAGGCAGATTTGGGAGAAGAGGGTGTGAGAGAGAAAGGGGAGGAGAAACATCTGAAGGTGGTGCAACAGAAGAACTGAAATCCACAGCAGGATATTCCTCTGTATTTTGCTCCTCAGGGTTTCGACTAGGAACCTCACTATCTTGAAGCTCCTCTGCAAAGAGAGACATTTTGCACATTTTACGACCTAGACTTTGACTCACAGATTGAATTCTGTTCGCCTAAATTTAGCAAGGTGGCCTCACCGACACCTGATACGTCAATGTCCTCTCGGACAGCAAGGGATGTGTTTGTCATGTCAATGGAAGAAGTGGATAGGTCCAGTCGGTCTGCTATGTCTGACACCTCCGAATTCATCATGGCCACTTCTGACTGATCCGAGAAACCTGGAGGAACCATTGCTTTGATACATTACAATGTCTTTTCATGATTCTTGTTCTAGATGAAGCACAATTTTCGATGCCTTACCAGGATCCATGACTCTCTGAATGGGAGGTGGCAGTGGGGTGTCAAGATCAAAGCCACTCATTGACTGACTAGACGCCATCAAGGACACCTGAGGATATACATTTCAGATACACTGTTGTAAGCATCTACCAAAAATTCAAACCAGAAGCAACTTTATTAATGTTGTTTAGACAAGTTATGTACATACACAAAACATTTACAGGTATAGTCGAACATTCAGTCATCATTTACACACCCTCACATCATTCTAAACCTGTCTGCATTTCTTTCTTCTAGGGCTGCACAATTAATCAAAATAGAACCGAAATCACAAAACAAAACTAAAAAATGCAAAATTAGGACCATAAATATTAGCGTTAAATATTAGTACTGTAATATTAGTTACAATATAAAATAAAAAATATATTATTTTTCTTAAATACTTGATTTTTTTATTTTACAATGAAATATTACAAAAGTAATATTTCTTATATAATTTTTGTTTAGTAATTTTTCTCTTTTTATTTAGCAATATTATTATTATTTAGCCATATTGATATACAGTGCTTAATAAATTTATTCGACCACTACCACCCAATTTAAGGCTTCTTGTAAAACAGTAAATTTTTTAAATTCATGGATAACAACAATAATTATATTTTAGCATTATAAACACTACTGTTACTAAAGAGCTTACAAACACTGGTTGATTAACCATTACAGAAACATTAAAAAATTATTTTGGTAATCGCCAATAGTTTAGGGCAGCTGTGGCACAAATCTTACATTGGATGGTGATGATCTAATAAATTTGTTAAGCACTGTATAATCATAAAATTTGGGCCATATTGTGCTGCCCTAAAAACAAGCACAGCAAATCGGTTTTTCAGAAGTAAATGATGTGTTTTTTCCCCCAAATCATGCAGCCCTACTTCCTTCTGTTTTGCTTTGGACCCCATTTACTGTATGGACCAAAAAACTGAGACCTTTTTAAAAATATCTTGTTTTGTGTTGCACATTAGAAAGAAAGACATACAGGTAAGTAAATCACAACAGAATTCTGGGTGAACTATCCTTTCAAGTACTGTGACATCACACTACAGTCTTGTGTAAAACTACCTCTGTGAATCCATTTGTAGGAAGCTCATGCTCTGGCGTTCCTGCCATAGGAGAAACTTTTGGACTGACTTTTTCAGATTTTGGGCTGTCAGGTCGTGCTGGAATTCGGTGCAGGTAGCCATATCCAATGCCACAGCCAAGACTACAAAGACAAAAACATTATAATGAAATGCACAAAAGCTCTGGAGGAGGCAGTTATGTGAGTTGTTTCCTCATAATAATGGCTGATTCAGGACTTCATTACATATATATATCTTCTGTAACAGGGATATTACCTGCCTTCTCCCCCCCAGGCACCATTTGGTGTGACAACCACCTCCCTGCAATTATCGGTCTCTGTATTGTAGACCAGCAGCTTCAGTGGTTTCCCCTCATGGGCTTCAATTAGGGAGAAGAAATCCTCTGACTGTTGGGAAATCAAAACATTGCTTGATTGAAAATAACTTGCATGCACATATTTTTTTTTTCCAGAAATATCAAGCAAGCATTCAAGAAAATAATTCACGTCTTACATCTTGGAGAACCTGGTCAGCTCCAACAATGAAATCTGAATGTTCCTGGAGTCCGGCCAATGCTGCTGGTGAATTTGGCTCCACATTCTAAAACCAAAGTGAATAAAATAATTACACAAAGAAAATAAAGAGAACTGTCAAAGAAGATGAAGTACTTAAAAAAAAGCAAGGATCACTTACAAGAACATGCCAAACATTTTCATTGGCTCCTTGAAAGCTGCAGAAGCGGACACTGGCTCCAAGAAGTCCTTGACCACCCCACATGTTGCTGGGAACCACTTCCAATTCTCGGATTCTCATGGTCTTTGTGCTATACACTTCCATCTTTACCGGTTTCTCCACATTAGCCTTGAGGAGGTCCTTGAGCATTTCATTCTCCTGGTTCTGTTTCAGATAGCGTATGACCCATTATAATCAGAGTAACATTGGCCGCATTTACATGCACATCAACAACCATGTTTTGGTTAAGTCTTTATTCCAACTAAGACATGCACTTTCATCTTCTGTGAAATACAGGAGATGAAGAAGTATATATTCTGAATAAGATGCTTACATGACCCCCAATAAATTTAAAATGCTGTTTTCCACAGATTTCTAGAAAGTGGAATAATGGGTTCAGGTTATTGCAATTAGTTTTAATATGTTTACATGATTCATGCATAAACAGAATATGACCACATATATATGTCCAATATTCAATTATATGAATGTCACAGACCACTGAAAACCACTTAAAGGGGTCATATGATGCGATTTAAATTTTTCCTTTCTCTTTGGAGTGTTACAAGCTCTTGGTGCATAAAGAAGATCTGTAAAGTTGCAAAGACTAAAGTCTCTTAAAAAAAAAGGGTCAATTCCGAACATTAAAGCATGTCAACATATTCTGTTACACCAAATACACAAAATAATGATCTTTAAAATAGCATCATATGACCCCTTTAAAACAGATAAATATTTGTATAATTTTTTTTAGCTACAACACAAACACTACCGGATTGCTGTGTTAAATTGTACACAGTGTAGATTATATAGAGCTAATGCTGGAATTTACATTTAAAAATCTTTAGAACACAGAAACAGCATTACTCGTAGAACACTTTAAAATGTTTACATGAAGAATGCATAATCAGAATATGAACATTACGATATTAATTAGAACATTGTTGTGCATATAAATCTAATCAAGCTGACAACGATTTCATCACTGTCACTGATTACGAACTCAATGGAATCATTTGCTGGTTATTACTTGTGTGACACTGACTTAAATCTTTGGATTAAATGTTCAAGATTACAAGAAATAACCAATAAGGCTTTACAAACTTACAAGACGATTATGGCCAATGGATATGATGAAATCAAAAAACGGTTCCAACCCAGCTTTCTCTGCCGGTGAGTCCTCTTGAATCTGTAAAGGAATAGAAGTTAATCACTGCAGAGCACAAATTCCATTCAGATCTGGAATTTCAGATGTCTCAAGTCTTTATTTCAAATGCATTTATGTTGTGCACATTGTGGTGTATTCTGGGAAGTTTAATAACATCCATCGAGTGGTACGTAATCTGACGTAATGGATTTTATTTTGTTTGACGTAATGGATATCTGAGAATTATGAGTTTATTCAGTGACGTGGCGGCTACGCTTAGCCCATATATTCCTAAATCCGGGAGCTGTTGGATTCCTGACCACGACATTGTTCCAAAACACTTTTACACATTGAGTACTATGTAACGTGTGACCATAATGTAAGAAATCACAGATGTTAAAATAAATAAGAAGGTGTTCTCGGAGCTGTCAGATTTACAGCACAACAGAACCTGTAAATACTATTTCCTGACAGTTGCCACTTTGCAAGCATAATTTTTAATTTTTAAAAGGCTTCCACAGATGTTAGTACCGTAGATAAATATAAACATGAACATGATAAAGACAAACATGAACGCGCACACACTCAGTTTTCTGTCAGTGAATATCTGTCAAAGCCTAAAGCAAATCCGACATGAGAACTTCATCAAAGCATAGCTAGCATGCAAAGCTGCTCGATGTCAAAAAATAACGTCAGCAAAATTGAAGTTATTTACCCCATGAACATGATATCCTTCTGTTCCCCCCTCAGGTGTACCACTGCTCTGTGTTAAACCCATTACTCTTGGGGGTTTCGATGTTTTACAGTGTTATGTTTAGCTTTCCGAAACAAACGACCCTGACAGAGATTACTCAAAACATCGTGGCCATGTTGTCCATCTAGTAGTGATGACCGGTTCGCGAACGAATCGTTCAATTTAACCGGGTCTTCTTAGTGAACCGGTTGAACCAGTTCACCAAATCGGACTGAATCAAAGAACCGGTTCGCGGAAAAGAACCAAACTTCCCATCACTACCATCTAGGCAGGCGAGAGCAATCGATCAAGATGCAATCGATCAAAGGCTTTTTCTATCTCGGTACTTTATTTCTTTTTAATATTTGTCAGCTAAAACATTCTCAAAACTAAGCAATTTAGCAAATTTAAGTTGTGCGTGGCTAAATTGCATAATAATAATACAAAATGTATAATATAATTAAATGTTACAGTTATATTTTATTCACACCCTAAATAATACATTTTATTATTATTATTATTACTGTTGTTGTTGTTGTTAATGACAGGTTTTGACAAGGCAACAAAACTCAACAACAAAATTCGAATTATTTGTACCCACACAAAGTTGCATAAATTTCCATTTTAACTTCAACCTCTCTGTTCAACAATTCGTTCAGCTTTGTATTAAAAGAAACCGTCGTTGTTGTTGTTGTTGTTGTTGTATTTTATTGATAGTTTTGTATTTGAATTTTTCAATTATTTTCAGACATCTTGAGGCTACTTCTGTTGTTTCCTGAGGCCCTCTTGTGGGGCTTCCAGGTAAAGAACAACAGTAGAAAGCCTAAACGTAATTTTATGAGTATGAGTGTGAAAAATAATCAAACCTCAAATTTGTTTTCATTTGAATAAACAATATCTATATATCTACATAGAAACCAATAGGTTAAGAATACTGAAATTCTTCCAGTCTCCCTTTCTTCCATGTAAATCAGTATTTCTCACTGGTTTTGTGAAATCAATTTTATTGAGATGAGTTATTCCAAAAAAAAAAAAAAAAACTGGACACATTTTGAAATGTCCAAAAACATTCACTGAAGTAAATACAGAGCCGGTATACCATTGATGAATGAAATATTCACAAAGCAAATGTAGCCTGAATTTCTTTATATATTACAAGTCATTCCTTAAATGAAAAACATTTCCTTTTAAATGAAAAGTCATGCTGGCCCTTGAAAAGACGATCATGAAATATGAAAATGGCATTTTGACATTTATATCAGCTAACTCATTTGAAACACTGTAACAAATACACTGTGCTACACAAAAATAAAACTTTGATTCACATACATGATCATTAAAGCTAAACACAACTAAGAAATAAATATGAATGGCTTTTATAAATAAACATTTAACAGTAAAACTTTATTTACTGCAATAGGATTAGTTTGATAACTTATAAAAAGGTAATGAAGCCTTTAGTTTACAAAGTATAAACATAAAATCTTACCTGAAACCACTGTACAAACTCTCCAAGACCTTTGGCAAAAATGTTGACATATTACTCATCATGATACTTTCCCCAGATTTTCACTGAGTGGTTTTTAACTGTATTTACACTGTGATCGTGAATGGTTACAGACTACATTGATATCCTTAAATATAATTCTAAGGAATATCCTTAAATTTCAAAGTTATTTACCATTTTTCTCATAGTAAATGAGATTTAATGATACTGTACAACTGCAAATGAACAATGCTCATTTGTCTTTAAAAACATCAGTAAAAATACTGAGCCACTCTGATCCCCATTAAGAAATTCCTACAAGAGACTCCAGAAGACTGACTCCTGAGTCCTCAGTTAGAGTGGGACTGGGACAGCAGGGGAACTGGAGCTGTGACATGTAGTCCAGATGACTGCACACTTTAAAATGATTGCGGCTTAGACCGTACTCATGGAAAGTGTCAAAAAAGACCAGGTCAGAGCCTGAGGACAGACTGAGGTCCATGTAACAGTTCATAGTGTGATCTGGAGATGCAGAAGGTGTATTAGGGATGTCAAATGGATCGTTGACACATTCCATGGTGGCCTGATTAGCATTTTCATCCAGATACTTCAATTTAGATGTACTGGTGTTGCTTTCCTTTGTGGATGTGCCACCAGAGGCTTTTGTGGACAGATCATACTCTTTAATGTATGGACATCCTTCTCCATCAGAATCAGAAAAACTGAGTATGTGAGTGAGTCCTCTGCCGTCCACGTCCAGTGTGGGTCGCTCTGAGGAAGGCCTTCCATCCGTCTCAGAGTCCAGACTCAGAGAAGAAGAGCAGGAGGTGTCAGTCATGTCACTGCTCCAGCTGTTGTCCCCCTGCCTGCAGAGCTCTGAGCTCAGGAGAAATGAGGGAGAGCCGTTTTCTACAGGAAATGTAATAGCTCTGTTCCTCTCCGCTGATTGTTGCTCAGTGGCAGTTAGTCTGTTGTCATCGTGCAGCCTCTTTTCCAGCTCCAGCTTCATGTGTGTGTGGATGTAGTGGCTCCGTACACGGCTGGAGTTGAACTCGATTCGGCCTGCGGGATTCCCACAACATTCCTTTGAACATCCACAAGGAAAGTTGGAGCGATCCATCTGTTGACAGATAATGTTTACAAAAAATAAAATAAAAATCAGTACGGCTGCACAACTACTTCATTTCTCATAATTAACAACTGTTGCTGCCCATAGGAAAGAAAAATCATCTCAATGAGATTAGAAGGAGAGTAAATTGAGACTTCTGTTTTTTCTCATGAGAAAACGACTTTAGTAATCTCACAAGTGTCTCCAAAAAGTCTGAGATTTCATTATAAACACAAATATTTCTCAAATACATACCATTCAAAAGATTTTTTTAAAGAAATTAATACTTTTATTCAGCAAGGATGTATTAAATTGATCAAAAGTGGTAGTAAAGACATTTATAATGTTATAAAAGACTTCTATTTCAAATAATTGCTGTTTTTGTTTTCATTAAAGGATTAATCAAAGAATCCTGAAAAAAATGTATCATGGTTTCCACGAAAATATTAAGCAGCACAACGGTTTCCAACACTGATAATTATAGGAAATGTTTCTTGAGCACAAAATCAGCATATTACAATGTTATCTGAAGCATCATGTAACATTAAAAAAACAGTTATTTTAAACCGTATTAATATTTCAAAATATGATTGTTTTTACTTTATTTTTTATTTTAAAAATATGCAGCCTTGGTGAGCTTAAAATTCCAATGAAAATCTCCTAGGCAGTGCAACATCTTCTGAGCAATAATATGTCAAAGATTAATATTATAGAGAGAGAGAGAGAGAGAGAGAGAGACAGAGAGAGAGAGACAGAACAGTAGTTAATTTATTGCTTATTACTTGGCACTTGATGCCAGCCTGGCTGCAGGCACAGGTCTCCGGGTCACAGAAGCCCTGGCAGTGGCATCCACAGTCTTCCCTCCACCGCCGCAGATCCTTCAGCTGCCTCTTCTCCTCCCGGTCGATTCGCACCACCCCTGCTGCTCTCAATAATGCACGTCTCCGTTTGGAAGAGTAGGGACGGAGGGATCCCATGTCTTTCAGCTTTGTGCTACTGAGATCGGCATCCTCATCTGGGACGTCGTTCACTGTCAGCCTGGCTGCTTCTGTCACTGTGAGAGTCCCACTGATAATCAGCTATAAAAAAAGAAGATACTGTAAGAAGACAAGCTGAAAAGAAAATCGTTTCTTAATATTGGAAAATAACCAACTCACCTTCTGTCTCATTGCCTCCAGCCTCTCCTCTTGGTGTTGCTCATGGAGCCTCTCCATTTGCAAGCGCTGCTGCTCCTCCGCGTGCTTCGCCAGGGTGAACTGCTGGCGGGCAGCGTGCCGTCTAACCATGCCCAGTGTGCAGCCACCGTGACTGGGCACACTGCTGAAACCTTGACAGCGCTGGAAAAGGAACACTGTAACCAGGCCAAACCGAACACTGCCTTTGGATTGAGTATCTTTTGTCTTCTTCAGGATGGATGAAACTAAAAGTAAAAAAAATCAAATGGATTAATTATTATCAAGGTTATTATTAAGATTTTGATGTTGGTTTTGACTGCAGGAAGGTTTTGACTGCCACTGCATAGTTATTACAGATGTGATTTTCATGACAATGTGGGACACGTGCGGGACACAGATAAATTTACTTCTATCCGCTTAACTGTCACCCCCCATTTTTGAACATAGACGTTCACCCCATGGGACCTATTCAGTCACCAAATATAATGAACTGAATAACATGCTAGCAGGTAAAATGTCATTTTATACTAAAATACATTTCAGTTAGGTTATATTCCTTTATTAGACTATATAACTATAGACTAAATAAAACATTCGCCGGATTCAGTGCATTTTAAACTTGTATGTTTAATTGGATCTGGCAGCTTTTAGCAGGATGTTTTTATCTAGTATGTGTCTAGAAGGCCTGGCTGGTTTAGCTGTATTTAACCTTCATCTGGAGTTCTCTTTTCAGGTCCACACTGGTTCCTTTGCATTCATCATCAGAAAAAGAAAAAAAAAAACTCTGCGAATGCATTGGTTGTTGTTTTGTTCCACTCTAGAACATGACAGCTGTGCATATGGATTTTGAAATGCCAGTCACAGCTTTTTATTCTTTTTATTTTATCATTTTTATTGTAACATTGCAATTAAACATTTTTACAGACATAGCAAGTCATTACAAAGCTCCCACTTTCGGCACTGTCCCGCACCCGTTCATCCTATCACTGCATAAAGTCACTCTCCAGAACCTTCACCCTCTGTTCCTGTCTGGTGGAATGAGCTGACAACCTCCACCTGAACTGTGGAAACCATTGCATCTTTCAAGAAGCAACTGAAGACATACCTCTGCTGCAAGCACTTGATCACCCACACCCTTAAACCAATTCACTTACACATACTTATCTGCATTTTCTTCCTTGCTTTCTAATCTAGTTGTCTAATAAAACTGCCAGTGTATATTACGAATATTGTCAGCTTTGTGACAAATTGCTTTTGTTCCTCTTTGTAAAACGCTCTGGATAAAAACATCTGCTGAATGCATAAATATAAATGTAATTCTTCTCTAGTGATTGTCGCTGTTGTAGTTCCACTAGAGGGCAGCTGAGTCAGATCTGTACTCTGTAAGTACCCTGAACTCAACACTAGAGAGCCCAAATGAGACATTAAGGAAATTACATTAGTGGTTTGGACATTTTTCACATGCAGTACTAAAAGGAAAAGAAAAAAAACTTTCTTCATGAATGCAAAGTTTAGAAACATCTATTGCATCGAATTTATGTGTTTGTTTTTTTGCAATGGCAGTTTCACTCGCTGAATGAGGATAATGGGCTGAGGTCAAATGTCAGTTGTATTTGCACAGTAGTAGCCCTTAGTAAATCAGCTTTATTTGCAGTACTTCACATGCAGTTTTCATAGTAAATCAACATTGAAAAACACACAGTGGTCCAGGCATGTGCAGGACAGACAATATAATCTCATAGTACTACCTGCAAAGGAAAACACTTACACAACAGATATGCTCTGTCCCGGTCAGGACGGTGTAACAGATTATAACTGTTGTGCTTACATTGGCGTTTGTGGGTTTAAAATGACTCAGGGTGACTGTGCACAACACCTCGTGATAAACAAGGTTACAGCTGTCTGTTTCTCTTCTTATCTGCACAATAACACCGAGGTTAGATAACAAGACCCCTCCTTATATGTGTTTAAAAACACTGGAGGTGACGACTGTTGCTTTGCATGATTTGAAAAATTCAGAGTTACTATGCTTTACTACAGTTACTACGCTACACGGTTACTTACTTGGCATGTGACGACTTGAAGAGAAAGAACCAACAGGCCCAAAGTTCACACTAAGTGCTCTGCACAATAACACCGAGGTTAGATAACAAGACCCCTCCTTATATGTGTTTAAAAACACTGGAGGTGACAACTGTTGCTTTGCATGATTTGAAAAATTCAGAGTTACTATGCTTTACTACAGTTACTACGCTACACGGTTACTTACTTGGCATGTGACGACTTGAAGAGAAAGAACCAACAGGCCCAAAGTTCACACTATCACTTTGGGGGTTCTCTTCATCAGTGTCCCATTCAGAGTGTGATGAGGGGGATGAGGAAGAGTAAATGGCATCCTCATCTGGGAAACAATATTTCCTCTTTAAACCCCCACGCTGCGATGTAGCCATGGCGATCTGTCAAATTATGTAGGAGAAATTAAAGCATAAGATTAGATAAGTATCAATCAATTGAAAAGTACAGCAAATGCGTCAATGGAAAATGTTCATGATAACGATAAGGAATGAAAAAAATCTAGTTTATAGAATTTTTATTTAATGATTCTAAAAAATAGCAATATATTTAATAACAAAAAGGTGTAACATATGGTACACTTTGAATACTTTTTGAGTTTACAGATCCCTGAACAAATTCAGTTTACAGTATTCAGTTTATTTTCAAATAAGTTTTCAAAAAAAGGTCATTTATTATTTTCAAAAAAAGTTTTCAACACTTTTTGAAATATATTTTAGTTATTTAAAATTATATATTATAATATATTTAAAATATGTTTTAGATTTTAAGATATAATATGTCAAATATATTTAATATTTAATCAAAATAAATTTTAGTTAAAAAATAATTTTTTAATATTTTTTTTAGAGTATAAGCTTTTTTTACAAATATAATTTTTTTTAAATTAATTAATATAATTAATAAATATAATTTATGATTGCACATGACGTGATTTGGCAGACAGGTTTTTAAATTTTGACAAACAGTGAACCTGTTTTGTTCGTAAAATATCTTTTTCAATAATAAACAATTATACCAAATTATTTAACAAGGTAAAAATACAACTAAAAGGCTTTTTTTTTTTCATTAAGATATCAGAACAGTTATATCACCCCGACAGTTTTTGCCCCTATCAAAATGAAATTTAATTCAGAAGTTAAAAACATGCTCCAAATACAACATGTGAGTCATTTATATATAAATAGCATTTTAATGTATTTTTGAATGAATTAATATGTCATAAAATGAGATTGCATTTTTGGCCGTGTACCAAGTATATGAAAAAAGTATTTGTGGAGGTTCAGTAACCAGTTGCATACAAATCCTAACCAGCAACAACTGGACACCTCTCTCTTGTTCAGGCTGGTACCAAAGATTCACATCTTCACTCTCGGTGAAAGCCTGTTCAGCAGGTTTCCCAGTAAGACAAAACTTGACTTGAACTACTACAACATCACAAGCACAGCCTTCTCAGGCAAATTATCATTGTTATTAATCATATCATGCAAAGTGTATGCAAACACAAAAGTGTGCATTATGCAAGCAATGATTAGTCTAGAGGGAATCAATGGTTCCTTCTATCTCCTTCTGGAGTCATTAACATTCCTCAGATGTTTGGAGTTCTTTAAGAACAAAATGTTAAGACATTCAGCTCAGCTTAACATCCCAAACTGCATGACCAAATTTGCAACCCGATACTTGTTTTTATTGCAGAATCCCCCAAACGTACAAAAGCAACTGCCAAGCTCCAACTCAAAGCTTATGAAAGCACTTACAAGTACACGCTGAGTGCAAAAAGAAACAAAAGAGGAAACCGTAACACAAAACGCACATTCTACTGAAGTTTTTCTGCTTGAGTGGGTGTGCGTTGGAAAGAAATCACACGCTAGCACACACACACACACAGAGAACTCTGTGTACCTCCGATGACAGAACAACACTACCTCACACTGCAGGACGGAGCAATCTGCATCACAGATCACCTGGTTCTTGTTCCAAGTGCATCCAGTCAAGCCCAATCCACACAAATGGCTCATATGCCAAGAACACTATGTGCCCCTGTGCACACTGCCTGTATCCTGGACAACCTTAACTCTCTCTCACACCTCTTTTCACACAGGTCTGGCTTTCTTTGGACAGTGTTATGTAAACACCTGCACTGTAATCCCAGATGCCACAAAGTCAACTAGAAACGGTTATAGCTGCATGAGATAAATGACACTTTGTGTTGCACATAATTGTAGTAGTGTTCGTAGCATGTAAATCATGCTTCAACAGAAATGCAGAATCAACTGATGCGGTGACACATGTGATTTACAGCTTCCTCTAGCTGTGACAAAGTGATAGTGATCTCTTAAAAGTGTGCAGACACCAGACTTCAAGTCCATTCAATTATTCATTGCATCCTTTGTGTATAGTATGTGATGTGGGAGTGTTTATAGTGTAGTGAATGTGTAAGACAGGAGGGCAGCTGATTACAAGAACATATAGGCCTAACATACAATAACAAACAAACACAATTTTTCACTGAAAGCCAAACAGAACTGGTCATTTCTTGGACTTGGCAGTGACGACTGGCCAGACTACAACTATGCAAATGAACATGCAAATGTTAGAATGTCTCCACAGAAGGAGGAGGTGGAGTTTGAAGACTGTGAAAGGGGAAAGCAGACAGATGTCAGGTGGAAAAATAGGTTATCACTCTGGTCTACAGCAGACAAAAACAACTAGACTTTTTCTCACATTTTCAATGCAGAAAAAAAGTGAAGACTTGAATCATCATGTTATAAAATAGGGTGAATACAAGTAAAGTGGGACAGTTTCTGATCATATTTCACTGGTGCTGTTTTGGTTACAGTGTCATTCAATACCAGTTTAAGATTAACTTAAAACGGTTTATTACTGACTAATGGAAGGAACAGATTATTAAGCTAAAGTGTCCCAATTTTATCTTTATTCATCCCATTTAAAAAAAAAAATTTTTTTAATAAAAAGTAGTCAAAACTACTCTTGCCTTGGCCTTAGGTACGCATCTTTCTCTTAAGTCATCCATGAGGATCTGATTCCCTTACATTACAGGTGCATCTACTTTCTGTCAAGCCAATCATTATCCTTCATATATATGTTTTTCAAACATCACAAATATTCACACATTTAATTTGATTTGATTTCTAATAAAAGTACAAAACTGTTCCGTTTTATTTTATGGATGATTAGTGTTCAGATTTAATAGAAACTTTAACGTCTAAGCAGAGCAGCTGCGTTAATAAATGCATATTATATATAGATATTAAGATATCTCTTTTCGCGCACGAGCACTTTAATTCTGCAGCTGCTGAACTTCCGTAGCGGACTTTCTCGCGGTCATGCCTATTTATTCAGGGTCGTAAATGACCAAATCAAAACGCGATAACAACAAACTATAAGACCCACGGTAACAATTAGTGATTCAACCGCTTAGCATACTAACTGTCCTATTGAGTTCGCCTTTGGGAGCGTTTTGTGTAAAATAATGTGTTTCACGCGCTGCGAGAAATCTACAAGCATCTGGAACAAAAACAAACACTCACCCAGTGGTTGTGTATCCGTGTATCATGGGTGGAAGAGACGACTAAATGATGCTTGAAAAGTTATCAAGATAGCACTCACGTCCTCTTTCTTAGCTCTCTTTGCACGTATAGTACAGTGAGATCAGCTGTTGTTGAGCTGTGTGTGTTCGTCAGTGGAAAACTCCCCCCACACTGCCTGACGTAAACAGTAATATGAGGACAAAAACAGCAGTCATTGACGCTCAGCGCGTGCTGCACACGGACACAGTGACGGGCAAAGAACAGTCAGTTACGACGGAACTTGCAAAACAAACTTGTCAATGACGGAAAGCTGCATTGAGTGTAGAGGCTGGCGCCGGTGTTGTGGTACATTCAGCTGCCCACCACACGAGGATGTAGGCTACTAGATGTCCTTCCTTTGGTTTGTGTGATACACCCGTATCACTCCCAAAGGGCCACAAAGGGCTCCTTATTCAGCTAAAATCAAAGTGTTCGATGAGTTCTAGACCATAAGATCATTTAGTCAAAGTCTGGTTTTGTTTTCTCCCAGTAAACACTTTAAAACGAGGAAGTCAGTGTTCTGTCATGTTTTGATAAAATGTCTTTCTGATAAAATACTGTGTGAGCAATTAGGCGTAATTATTTTGGGAACCAATTTTGTGAAAAGCATATGACAGTTCATATAATGCCATTAAGGTTAAGGCCATCTCCTCAGACAGAATAAGGGAGACAATCAGTTTCTATCTGCACTGAAAATTGGTGTAGTATTTACAAAACAAGTTCCAATCATAAATTAGTAAATTTCGCAAATACTGTAATTACAAAAAGAATTGGCAGGTATTAAACATGAAAATTTGAAGTAGAAAGACTGAAAAAGTATATTCTTGCAAAGCATAGTTGAATCATTTTTGATTTATTTACAACTTTGAAAAAATATATATTTTTACAGTATAGGCATAAATCTTAATGTCTTGACTACAAAGATACTATTGAACATTTCCACTGTTATTGCTCTGGAAAAAATACAGTTTGTTGAATAAACATTGCCCAATAGCGGGGCATGTTGTCATGAAAGCTGTCAATAAACAGTTTTTTTTCTACAGAATTTAAACGGTAAAACAATTACAGAAGACATCAATTGTGTAACTAATTATACAATAATTTATCACATTTAAAACATATGATAACATGACGCGATCTGTAGACAATACTAAAGAAAACACACATTTGGTTGAAATGGACTTTCAGTTCTTTAAAAAAAACATATTTTGTGACAACTAGCCCCGGTCTCTCTGATATTTATTTAGCATGATGCTTCCTACAAATGGATTAATGGATCTTCTCCATTTTCTCTAATGAAGTCTGTTCGAGCTTATGCTGAGGAAGAAAAGACAGGCAGTGATAGAGGTCAGACAAAAGGCAGAGGAGAAAAACATGAGAATGCTGTTCCAGCCACTTAGCCAATCACAGAGAAACACTCCCTGGATACCAAAGAACCTCTCCATGGCAATGACACTGTGAAACATCCATCACAGAAGACTACTTGGGCATCAAGGTTTTTTAGAGGCAGATGGTAACATCTTTGTGCCTCCCTCTCAGTCTCACTCTTTCTTTCTCTCTCCTTCTCGCACACACATAACACTGACTGTATCACCTTAATGATTTCCCATCTGTTTGGTAATGAAACCACAGGGCACATATTACCCGTCAGCCCCTCCTTCTAAGCTGGGGGTAAGACAGACATACAAACGAACCACAGATGCTTAAAAAGCAGGTTAAAACATGTCAACAGTACACTGGGGAATGAGCTTTCAAACATAACACATCCATCTGCTAAAGGGTTCAGTGTTTTGTATAAAATAAATTGTGGTTATTATTAACTAAAAAAAAAACATATTTTGTGACAACTAGCCCCGGTCTCTCTGATATTTATTTAGCATGATGCTTCCTACAAATGGATTAATGGATCTTCTCCATTTTCTCTAATGAAGTCTGTTCGAGCTTATGCTGAGGAAGAAAAGACAGGCAGTGATAGAGGTCAGACAAAAGGCAGAGGAGAAAAACATGAGAATGCTGTTCCAGCCACTTAGCCAATCACAGAGAAACACTCCCTGGATACCAAAGAACCTCTCCATGGCAATGACACTGTGAAACATCCATCACAGAAGACTACTTGGGCATCAAGGTTTTTTAGAGGCAGATGGTAACATCTTTGTGCCTCCCTCTCAGTCTCACTCTTTCTTTCTCTCTCCTTCTCGCACACACATAACACTGACTGTATCACCTTAATGATTTCCCATCTGTTTGGTAATGAAACCACAGGGCACATATTACCCGTCAGCCCCTCCTTCTAAGCTGGGGGTAAGACAGACATACAAACGAACCACAGATGCTTAAAAAACAGGTTAAAACATGTCAACAGTACACTGGGGAATGAGCTTTCAAACATAACACATCCATCTGCTAAAGGGTTCAGTGTTTTGTATAAAATAAATTGTGGTTATTATTAACTATTCTGAGAATTACCAGAAAATACTGAGAGTGACCACAAGTGGAGAATGTGATGTAGGCTAAGTTGTGTTTCTGCACAACTTATTTTTAGTGCATTCCACAGACATTGCACAACATAAGCAAATCAATTCAAAGCATGGACCATCAACTCTGTATGCAGAGTGAAAGTGGTAGAATGGAGAGGGGGAATATGTTATTAGCTCACAAACTGTACAGCTGGGAATAATATACTGGACAAAAACAGAATTTGATGATTTCTTCATCCAATGAAATATTCATTCAGAGCAAACGGTATTTAATATTTATATTCATTTGTGTAATATAGCTCTCTGGAGTACTCAGTTCTGATTGGTCAATTGCACCATCCAGTGGTCTGATATTGCCTAATATTCACCATCGTCCATGGCAACACTCTACATCAGTCTGCTCATGAAACCGGAGTTACTTTCATGTCTGTCATATCACTCCGTGGACTAACTCTCTCGTTTTACACAAACACAGCTGGTGCACCTCAGTAAGCAATTGTAGTAAAAAATAACCACAACATTATCACCACTGTAATATTTTTGCAGTGTTCTTCTTGTTGCCAGGCCGATTCGTTTGTACATTATTGAACTATTTATTTATTTGCAGAAGCTTTAAGATAATGTGCTGGTAAGATTATAAAATAATTTAAACTAAAATCAATATTTCACGTCCATGTATTTATTTATTTATTTATTGGGCGAGTAGCCATGTAATAAGCTGGATAATGTACAATCAACTGGCTATTATCACAAAATAAATTGTACTCAACAATACATGGTTTAATTTGTGATTATAGCAGTGATCTGTATATTTTATTATATAATTGTGATTTATTTAGCGTAATAAGCAGATATTTAGCATCAATAGTATGCAATTCATATTGTTTGATGTAATTACATGTGTTTTATTTTGAAATAATAACCAGTGTTGTCCATAAAAATATGAAATGCACAAATGTTTTTACGTTCTCTTGTAAAAAAAAAAATCATCATCATTGCAATAATTTTCCTTTTATATATTCGTTCATATATTTCATAACCATCTGTCACAAATTGATTATTTTTCTCCACTATATTCAAACTGTGTCAATATATGCTTTTTTCAGCACACAAGTGAATCTCATTCTACCCCCCACAGTTTTTTAGACTTGCATTTGCGTTTGTAATTTGTTATTTTGTTTTCAGAATTGTGATTTGCTTTGCACTTCTCAGCCACCGTACAGATCACTCTTCAGCGCTAACATGGAAGGTGCTGAACAATGTTTGGCATTCATTCATTCATTCAGCTCTATGAATAGCAAGATGATGTCCAGAGTATACATGACCTCAGTAAGTGCATGCTAACCTTACATTCCTCAAGTGTTTTGTCTAGAGTCTAGACTAACAGCTAGCAGACGACCATAACTTGAAACCCTCTTGTTGATGAGAAAATTAGTTTAAATTCGAATATCAGTGTGCTGACATGGGAGGAAGTAGTCATCATATAACCATTTTTCTTAAATGCTCGACTGAATTGTAAACACAATTAACAATACTGTAAATGCATTATTTAAAGACCCATTTTACACTTCATTTAACCCTCTAGTTGGTTTGGGTGAGAAATAAGTGATCACACAGTTTTCCGGACACCTGAGGTCAGGCTGTAAATGAGGGACTTTGGCCTGTGTGACAGGAGTGTCTAGTGAGTGATGCTCTAGTTCACACTGCTCAGCGTAACAGAAGGAAATGAGGAGCGCAAGACTGATCGCTTAAGGTAACTCTCTAATTCAAGATGAATTGATGTGATATTTTGTCAGTATGTTTTTTGGGTAGTTAAAGTCATACTTAAGCTCATACATAGGCAAATTACTCAAATTTAGGCTAATGAACATTTAGTCATACTAAATGAACTGCAGTAGCTGTGTAGTTTTTGTGTATTGATTCTTACTGATATTCTCTGATATTTCATCTGTTCACTTTCATTTTGTTCCTGTGTGCATGATTATTTCCATTTTTTGCAAGATCTCCATTTTTTTTGCAATTTTTGCATATTATGTTAAAACTGCACAATACAGCAAAGCGTTCAATGTGTAATGTAACAAAGCATATGAATGATAAACATTAACTTGAGTCAGATGAGAGAAGGGCTGACAAGCAGGTGGATCATGTGACCAAAGTCATTTACACACTCTTTTATTGGTGCTGTGTTAGACTGGATTAACAATTATTTTCAAGATTTGTAATATATTTTGTAAATATTTTTCCATTTGTTTTGGTTTTATTGTTATATTTATCTACCACAAATAAATGTAAAAATAATAATAATTTGATCCTTTAACCTATGCTGTGCCTTTAAAAATTGATATAAGGCAGTTCAACAAAAACATAATTTATATGTATGGAATAATTATCAGGCCACTGAATTATTAGATATATAAAGCACACCCGAGGTGGTAATGCGGTCACAGCACAAAGCAAATTATAATATCAAACCTCATTGTTTCAATGATTATTCAGTTACTTCATTATTTAATTCAAACAGTTGTGACAGATAAATATAACAATAAAAATAATCATATATATATATATATATATACAGTGGGTACGGAAAGTATTCAGACCCCCTTAAATTTTTCAGAAATTAAAATTTATTAATTAAAATTTTAAGTAGTTTGATTTACTTACTGATGTGTTTTCTCTACTAAGATGAGCTTTACCTTGAGAAGAAGTCAGTCCCTTAAGAGCCTCTC